TATCAATGTCAATGTATTAAAAATAAAAGACAAATGTAGATTTATAGTTTATAGATTTGGTTGTTTTTAATTGAGATGACATAATTTCTATTGATTATAGTGTTATTAGGTATAATACTACTGGTATAAAACTATATACTAATTACTAGGTATCGATGCATAATGGATTTTTACCGTCACACCAATTTAGAAGTTGAAGCAATCACTTATATTAGTGCTTAAAAATTCGTCGTAAATACGTTAGCATGTATCATTGTATATTGTATGGTATTATTTAATTAGATAATAGAATAAAGTTTAAATTTTCAAAAAGCGCAGTAAAACCAAACGACCAATCAGAAGGCTAAAATTATAAAAGGTGCCGAGACCGAACCCAGAATGCTAATATGCTGCCGGGACCTAACATTTTGCTCGTTGTAAGCAGTATCTCGTTCTAAGCAATGTTTTTATAGTGATTTCTACTGTATTTAATTTTTTGAAATTCTGTAAAATCAAGCAATTATTAAAACATTAGTAACTAGAATATTTTAATTTATAATGATATAACTTGTACAGAACCTATTAAATTAAGCAAGTAATAGCATTAATACTATTATATTAAATATAAATATAAAGTATACCTAATATACTAAATCTAGCAACTGTTGTTTGCGGCCCCCAGGGAGGGATCTAGGACAATTCRCCGTGGCTATTTCGACGCGGTCATTAAATATTTTCGTCGTTATAATAATAAAAAATGGTTGAAAAGTAATAATACATTTATAATATATATTTCGTCATATTCAAAATTAAAAAAATTTAATAACAATGGTAAAAATTAATAAGAATAATAAAGGTAAGCAGTAATCATGGTAATGAGATATTATATGCTATATATTTTTAATATGAAATGTAGCCTCTACTATCATAATGTTGTATTATTTTCAAAATACATTTATCGAGATCGGAAATTTTTTAAAAATTTTTAGGTGGACTTTTTTCTGCATTTAACTGAGAATTAAAATAATCATGACCAGATTGAACTTTTTTCAAACAAACAATTAATAAAAGCCCAGATTGACGGATGGCATACTATCATTTTAACATTAAGTCATCTATTCACAGCTTTTGCGTGGTTATTAGTCCTATCTTGGGAATTATAAAAGTTTATAATTTATAATAAAATTATAAATATAATTTATTAATTATAAAAGTTCCTAATATCAGGTGGAAAACGTGTGTGGCGTCTACCTCTACCATTTCTATTTAAATATAGTTTGTTTCAAACCATTCTAATAAGTAAGAAACTCTTGACTAAGGTTAAGGTACTTGGGCAACGCATCAACAGCAGCATCAAGATTTTCTAATTTAACAAACAGTAATGCAACAATCATTTTTCCAGAAACTGCAAAGTCAAAAATATTAGTATACTAAGAAATAAGATATAATTCACAAAGTTTTTTCTAATATTTTTCGTCAAATGAAATAAACACCCAAATATTTGWACGTTAGGAAATGCTATTTTAATTGATTTTATTGCGGCTTGTTCAAAATCACATGAAACAGAACTAAGATTTAAATCGGGTCTTAAATTTTTTAAATTGAAAATATTTTATTGTATTTTTTTGATTGTTTATCTGGTAATATATACTAGTTCACTTTCTAGATATTCGGCAAGTATTACATACACTTGACTAAACAGAGGAGGTGCAATTTTAAATGTACCGTCTACTGTCTACATACCATATTTTAGAGTTCTGTAGTATATCAAGGCTTCGGTAATCACCAAAAATTGGACTCGGACCACTATCATCTTGCAAAAATAGTTCCTCATTTCCTGTTGATGAAGTGTACATACAATATGAAGCTGGTATTTCTAATATGTGGTTAAATTTTCCGAATTTTGTGGTACAGCTAGAATTTCTTGTATTTTGYGTCAAACTTGTTTTTTTAATGCAGCACTATTTTGTAATGTTGTCTGATACATAAATAATATAGTTATAAAATATAATGTTTACCTAAATAATAGTTTTTTTTTATTACTTGCTTTGGCTGCTTTACACAATGGAGCAATACACATGTTAAACAAAGTAGACATAGGCTCCATACATTTAGTAGCTTTTCTTTTTAGATTTGTTACAGTGACATCTGCTTCGATTTTTGATGCTTCAGAGTCATGAGTTCATTGATAGTTTTTATGACTGTGTAGTCATTTGCTCCTGTATGAATTCGCGCTTTGGAAAAATTTCTATTACGGAAACGCCAAAACCATATTGTATTATTAAAATTAACATTATCATAAACATATTTAAAACTATCATATACAAATATTTCACGACCACGAGTAGATTTAACTTGAGATTTCATTAAGTTACCTTATTAATTTACTGGGAGCTGTGTTGCCAGATGAGAACTGATTAAAACTTTATTGCAACAATTGTAATTGTGATCGTCGTCATCGAAGGCCATGGGCAATGTGTAGACATTTTAAGATAAGATAAATAACAAAAATCCAATAATATGAATAATATAACATATTATAAAATTATATAGGGTGAATTTAAAGTTGATTTTGTGTATATATAGCCACGGCAAAATGTCCAAACGGCGAAATGTTCCATTTCACCAGGGAGTCCACTCATATCGAGGGTTTGCGATGGCTCTATCTAAAAATAATATATACAATTTTATGTTACATTATATTATAATATGTATAACAAAAAGAATTATAAATARAATTGTTTTTATGTACCTATTTATGAGATTTGTAAAGGAGGATATTAACTTGTCAAAAAGTTAAATTTTTTTATTTAACTAATTATTTTCGTTTTTAAATTTATGAACTTATTATTATAGTATTATTATATTATGGTTTTAAATTAACTTTTTACGGTTAAATATTATATGTCAGTTAAGTTTCTTTTCATATCATACAGAACTAACAGAAAATACTATTTGTTGGCTATTTTCTAATATTATGCATGTATCATAATTCATAATAATCTGATTTTTGCAGTGTTGCATGGTTAAACATCTTGCTTATGTATATGTATGTGTAAATCAATATAGTAAACTTAAAAGTATTAAATATGTATACAAATATAAATATTTTAGTTCAGAATAAATATTTCTTTTTGACTGAGTTTAGTTGATTTTATTTTTCATCTTACTTTTAAACTAATTGAGTTAAATATTTCTTTGCTAACTTTTAACTCAAACTGAAGGCAATTTTATTGAATTAACTTGGGTTGTGACAGATATTTATTTTCATTAATTTACCCAACTTTGGTGATTTGTGTTATAAAATAATGATTATAATAGCCAGTCCTCGACTTGGCAATATTAAAGTAGAGGGATTTTATTAACTTTAAATAAAGATCGTCACCATCACTTGTTAAATATTACTAAGCCGTGGAGGCTATGCTCTCACAACTCCTAATGCCCCTCTTCAAAATAAAAAAATGTTATTATAATCRAATTWAAAAAAAATTACAGTAAAAATTATACAGTATATTATAATTATAACTTATAAAATCAAATTCAAAAATAACTAAGTAGAAAACAATTAATTTTAAATATTTATTTAAATTGTTCCATAATTTACTATAGGTATATTCGACAACGGTTTTATTCTGCATCTCTTTTACCGTTAAATATCCAAAATTTTACATAGAAAAAATTATGATGTTATCAGGTCCCATTCCCTTTAAAAATAAAGGCAGTGGTATGCTAATTTCTTAAAATTAGTTGGGGTACTCTGTCCCCCTGCATCCTCCCTCATAAATCAAGCACTGATAATAGCAAGAGATAGAGATATTTTATAAAAAAAGTATTAAAAAAAAGTTGATAGTGGGCCCATTATGTCTAAAAGCCCTACAAAATCACTGCACTAAATCATATAGTTGTAGGAAATATAAAATATTTTGCCTTCTTAAATGTTGTTCATTATTGCAGTTCACTAAAAGAGATACACTTAGTGTATTTGTTAGATCATTAATTAAGACAAGTATAAACCTTGTGTGTTTTAAGTAAATGGATGTGGATAAGTGGTAATTTGATTGTAGGTAGGTAATATTCACTGTTGAACTTWTTATATACTCATCTAATAAACAATCGTAACTGGAAATACCCTGTTGGTTTAAATTTGATTTTGCTGCGGTACCATCATTTAGCACAACATTTTCATAATCTAAACATATATTTTCTTAATATAAACATCAGGATTTTAATACAGTTCTTACTTTACCATAATAACTACGCCCCTATACTTTTTTTGGCACACACAATAGGTATTTCATAATTTCTGTTAGTATAACTAACATCAAACAAAGGTGAAAAATAATGAAACGTAAAAGGATAATATATTAAGATTGAGATTTAGATATATTTAAAATGGTTTTTAATTAAGTTGACATGATGGTAACTAATTGAACATTAAACTAATAAATAATTTGTCTAAACTAAAAATTGTGATTTCTTTTGATTAAAAGTAGCTTATCAGCTTCTCAGTGGATAATATTAAATTAAATTAATAATTAGTTTCAGGTAAACACAAATTGGTTCAAAACTAAATAAAGCTAATTTTTTATGGGTATACAATACTAAAAAGTTTACCTGGTTGTTTAGATGAATTGTTCGATATAATATTATATAATATATAATTCTTTACTTTTCACTTATTTGTTTTTGTTCACTTCCTCCTCTAAATCTGACAAATTCGAAGTATACATGCTAGTCTAGCTTCTTTCGTAACATCAGCTGTGAACCTTAAATGTTGAAATATACAAGATTGAAATATGGAAATGGAATTAAATTAATATAATTGTACCTACTAGTGATTCGAGTTTACGAGTTTACGACTTACATGAAATCGCCCACAGATGATAGGAAACAATATTGTTGATAACGAATGTGATACTGATGCACTGGCGGAACGCACCGGTAAGCTGTTGTTTTACCATTGTAAATCCTATAATACACTATCTACAGTGGCGTACGCAGGATTTTAGTTCGGTAAGGGTTTTCAATATATGTTGATCAGTGACTCGTGGGGGGCTTCGCCCCCCACACCCCCCACTATATAGCTAAACTAATAAATATAACCAACATTATATAACACATAATAATTCTTTCAAAATAAATTCCTATTTATGTATTTAATCA